TGATTTTCCTCAGGTGAGGAGGAATCATATCCCTAAAATTGACTTATAGCTGTCATTTTTACCACTTTGTGATCACTTTACAGCACCAGAAGTTTTCTGTAGTAAAATATAAACATCTCTTGCTCCTCAAAACTTCATTCTCTGCCTGTAGCTAAATGGCTGTGTTAAATACTGTCTTTATATCTGTATTGCAGAGAGATACATAATGTCACTATAAATAGTGCACTCCAAATTGATTTTATGCCTGTTACGAGAGCTGCTCGTATGATGAGAATACACTTTGACAAACTGACATGTTTTGATAGGTGCTGAAGTAATTGTACAGATTTTTTTAATTAAGCAAAGATTGCAAGTGGTGTATTCTACGGGAGGTTAATCCCAATATCAAAGTTTAAATGTTAGTTTAAGCATTGCTAAACACAGCCCCGGCTCTTCTCTTGTGCATTTTTTGAAGTGTGATGAGAATTTCATTCTGAGCTTGGGCAGCTGTATTATGGGAATGTAAAGGAACCCGTTGCCTGGCAGCTCTCAAGAAACATGTCTAAATATTTATTTCTGGGGATCTTTAAGCAAATAGCCAACAAGCAGCTCTCTCTGTAGGTTTTCTTTTGCATTCAGCTGCCTCTGTTATGGGAGGATTGCTTCATTATTATAGAGCATTCAAACAAGTCATCACTGCTTCAGTGACCCCTCTTGTTTCCCTTAGGAATGCGGGATCGACTGCTCTCTGTCCTTATGCCTCTTAATTCACACAGAATTAATTCTTAATTCACACAGTTCCTCTGAGTAATTGTGGGTTAATTATGAGGAGCTGGTTTTTGACTCTTGAGATTTAGCTAATTGGTGGTAATATTCCTTTGTATTTTTTAATATTTAATTGATGTAATTTTTTTTAATACTTATGTCAATGGTTTTAAAGGACTTAGTGAGTCATTTAAGTTATTCTCTATTTAAAAACTGATCCACCAAGCATTGATTTTTCTCAGGGATATTAATTTATGTATATATTATATACATATATGTGTGTCTCTGTGTGTGTATATATATGCATATATATATATATCATGACAAATACTGTGCTAAAACTATGTATTTTCCTAGCATTTTCYCTCTAATGTAAAGAGCGCTAATGAAACCTGACTGACTGCAGCAGCCCTTATGTTAGGTAAGAACTCAGTGAAGATCAGCCCGATCAGCCACAATAACCAAGGGGCATAAATGACTCCAGAGGAGCAGTTGCTAAAGCCCACGGCAGTTTAGAGCTAGGAGTGCAGGACAGGAAGGTTAAAGCGGTGCAGCATCRTATGTGGGCTGAAAATACAGCCGCSTGCCTGGCTGCCGCCTGCCTGGCTCTGTCTTTGGTGCCCTCCAGCGGGGCTCCGCGCGAACGGCCGCGCTCGCAGCCCGCCTGCCCTCGCTGCCCCTTCGTTCATCTGCACCGCTTCTTTATTTTCCTCAGAAATTAAAAATGCAGCATAAAAATCCTTAATTCTGTACYGCTGCACCTCCTTTGGTTGCATGTCATGTAGCTTACATGTCATATGSAAGAAAAAGCTGTAAAAAAGCTGTGTTTTAATCTGCAGCGATGCTATCCTTTACATAACGAGCATATTGCAAAGTCTAGCACACGTTTTCCATAGAAGTCTTTTTGAACCTGCTCTCTCCCCAAATACATTTTCATACTTGAAGGACTGGTTTGACAGTCAAGTCTTACTGTCTTGCCTGTGGTAGAAACGGAGACCCGAGTGTTAGTCATCCAGGATCGCGGGATATCGCCCGGGTTCTCGTGCCCACGTGTGCCTCGCTCGCCACCCAGCCTCTCTGTCCGCCAAGAAACCCCAGACAGATACAAATTTGCTGCTTATTGCCCTGCACAAGAGAATGGCAGCAGCACGGTGCTGTTCTCGTTGCTTGATTTCTGGATCTGTTTGCATAAACAATATGGGAACATGACACTTGGGCTGTTCTACCTTATAGCTTTTTTCCTGGCTAAAATTGATATTGTGTTTGTTTTTATTTAATCAGGGAGTTTACATTTTTTTAATAGCAGATCAGAAGTTCTRCAAAAATATTTATGAACGGTAAAGTTCAAATCATAATTTGTACTGAGGAATGGCATTCATTTGTTGTATAAACATGCACTTATATAACTTCATAAAAAAAATTCCAGTTGATCTAAATGATTTGTTCACATTCAGGATTGTCTTCTGGCTTACCAGCCAGATCTCATGTTTGAGAAAAATACTGCAGCGATGCTCCTGAAAGCACGTAGCCTGTTTATTCCACAAAAATAATATTTTTTACAGTCTACATGGCCACAAAAACCTTGCATGTTGCTATCTCCCAACGCATCATTCCTGACCTAGGGAAATGTTACTTGTTACAGTATTGGGTGCTTCCCACTTTGGCATAGCTGCTGTGTCCCATGTTTTGTGACCGATGGCCTCCTAGGAGCTGTGTAACAATCGCTCCGTGTGCCACTAACGGCAGCAAAATAAAGATCCTTGGGCTATACCTTGGAAAAATCCACAGATAGATTTGGAACCTGATCTAAAACACACCGATGGTCTAAATGATTTGGAAGATATTGAAATGGCTTTTAATGATTTCATTTCATGTTGGTTCATATGGGTAAAGTTACATTACTCTTTCATGTTCACTTTTGTAATAGCTCTAAAAGTTCAGGAAAACGTTAATATCATCTCTGATTTCAGTCCTAGTAAATTTAGGACTTTATGTRCAACATACAGATATTAGTAGCAGTCAGATTAATAAATCAAATGTTACTGGGTCTGAAACTCAGAGTTGTCTGTCTGTTATTGGAACTTGGCTTGAAGAGTTTGGTAGAAATCGGAGCACTTTGTAGCTTTTGTGTTGTGTGGCAGTGCTAGGTAACTGCTTAATGGCTCTCACACCCTTTAAATACAACGTGGAAGGGCAGGTCTAGGTGAAAAGACTTCACTTTTCAAGTACCCTTGTCAAAAAGGGGCAGCTTGTGCAAAACAGTAGGAGCAAGAATGTTAAGGGGGGGAAAAGTAAAGAGAAAGTCTCTCTTTGCCACCAGGAGGAGCACGACTGAAATATGTCTTAGTGATATCCTAGCACAGCCTTTAGCAGCAGTTGACAGTTGCAGCACTGAATCTTTGCAAGTATCATTCTTTTTCAGAGTAGATATTACATATACTTTCTATAGTGCAGCTCAAGACAAAAATCAGGAAGAAAGCAAGTGAGAGGCTTTTATATTGTTACAGGTTGTAAATGGGGAATGATTCGTTTGGTGTCTGAAATGGCAAGCACAARGTTAGGTCTGTATGTGAATGCAAGAACGTCATGTTGTGTGATCTGTACAAGGCAGTCGGTGCAAGAACGTTGTGTTGTGTGGAYGTTAGCCACGCTGCCTGCGTGGAGCCCGGCTCTGCTCCAGTGCCCTGGCTGGTGGTCCAGGAGCTGGGGTTGATGCTGCTGCCCCCAGGTCCTTACCTGGGCTTCCCGCAGCCTTGGTGCGGCAGGCACTCGTGCTGCGTGGCTTGTTCTTGCAATCAAGCATGCATTAGGAAATTAGAAAATTAGAAAAAAAAAAAGCAGGCTTTGTTGGATTAGGAGGAAAGGAATCAGTTCTCTGAGAAACAAAGCGCCAAACCTGTAGGTCCTCCCCCTGCTGCTTACAGGTCTCTTTTGTAGATAAAAMCAGGAAAATTGTAAAACAATATAAAGATTTGGAAAGATAAGGGAAATGTAGCAGGTAAATGGGATCTTAGCGTTACATATAGCACCCGGCTTGTGGTTCTAGTTAGCAAATAATAGACAGGTGGTTTTGCCATGGCTCTTCAAGCTGAGATGCTGGTTGGAACATCTTGCTCCTCAGGGGTGCGCTTCACTGTATCTGCACGCAGGTCCCGTTGCCTCGTGGCAGGGAAATGCCACTTGTCTAACTCTGCTTTGCCAGCCCCATCTAGGCACTTTATACATGACAGGATTTGTATTTAAAATTTGAGTGTATGAAACTGACTGTCTGCACTGGTGGGTCCTATCCTTTTATAAACAAGGAGGACTTTTGTGAATTGATTTTACCCAGGTAGAAAATGTGTAGAATACCTAATGCTCTTCCTGCAGTTGTTGTGATGTTGTACAACTACTATAAATCTGACTCCAGCAAAGAGTAAGATTTGCTGTTTTCGACTATTCCATGTGGAATCCATAAACTGGATTAAACTGGATGCTAATTCATAAAGTGCTCCCTACATTCATGGCGCGCAGCTGTCGCTGATTCCAGGCTCTATTGTTCTCCCTGTGAAACTGGCTCCTGCCTTCCCTAGCGCTGGCAGCTTCTGCTCCACAGATTTTTCCCCACAGTATCAGTAAGGGCTCTTCCCTCGGCCTTCTGACAGAGAGTTTTAAAGCAAATGACTTAAAAACCAAAGTCAACTCATTTTATTTTGAGGCAGACTTTCAAAACTATTGCAGTGGATTCTTCTAATGCCTGAATTTTGTCGGCTTCTGTCATCTGATTTCTGCATTTTACCTGATGTGCAAGATACTGGCCATAGTCTGCCAAGGGTGACCGGGACAAGTGTTCAGAGATGGTCCATTACGGGAGAGCCACCTTACTCCATGTGCAGTGTGGTTCTACCTTTGGATCTCTCCTGGACATGGTGGGTCCAGAAGGTCAGTGGGACATGGGAAGCTCAGGGCCAGCACAGACCAGATGTGTGGGTTGCTCTTGTGCTGTGACTGTCAAGTTGTTGCGTGGCTAGTGAGTGGAGTGGGGTGAGGAAGGGCTGCTTTTCTGGTAAAGCCACCATGCCTGTGTAAGAGAAGACCATTTACTAATTTTTGCATTTCTGTCAATATCTAGATATCTTACTGATGAAAACCTGGARGTCAACAGTACAACTAGGTCATGTAAAGATGCAAAATTAATGATTAAACATTTAAATGTTTGTATCATAGCTTTATTCCTTAAAATGCTTTGCTGAGTTCTCATAACTATTTTTTATTAGGATGAAGATGAGCTGGACTCTCACACGATGGTGAAGACCAGCTCAGAGAGCGCTGGCACCATGAGGGCCACGAGCACCATGAGCGAAGGTGCTCAGACAATGATTGAGCACAGCAGCACTATGCTGGAGTCGGACTTGGGGACCATGGTGATAAACAGCGACGATGATGAAGAGGAGGACGGGACCATGAAAAGTATGTTGTTAATTCCCATTTCTGTTGGGTAATGTCATATGTTGCCTCATGCTGCCCGAAAACGTTGGGTCATCGTGGTCCATTAGGTGGTAAGTGCAGAGAGGGGAGTGTGTTCATCTCCCAGAGGGCTCTTTGTGCTACGTAGAGAAAAAGGTGATGGTGGTAGAAGACTGGTCCTGTGCTAAAACTGTGGGCATCTAATTTTAGAGACATTGAGTTCTCCCTACTGTTTRTTTATCTCCTACTTTTTGCCTCCTGTCGTGCATGTATTCCTTAGAGCTAGGCTGCAGTGCAGCCCGTATGCTGCTCTTTGTGTGCATGTTCCTGTGAACTCATCAGGACTCCCCGTGGGTTTAGCGATAGTGCAGATCTTGCTGACAAATTGCTTTATAATTTTATAATCAGTTAGCACATTTTTCTTTTACCGGTTGGTGTTGTTATTAGAACATCCTTGTGGGACGTAATTCAATAGTGCTTGATTTAATGCAATGGTCAAAAGATTATTGAAGCCAAAGTAAAACATCTGTATTGTCATCAGCATCTGAGTGGTTGTTTAATAAAGAGAAAATTGATGAGTTTTCTTAGAATATAAAATTATAAATTGCACTGGTGAAATTCAAGCAATCGATAATAATCTGCCTACATAAGAATGTAGGCACATAATTTATTATTCTTATAATAAAACCACTACAGAATTAGTCACGCTGAATATAACAAGTATTTGTTTGAATGGGTAGCATCATTATGTGACTATTTCTAGCTGTACGTGCCTGTTTTGGAGGCACAAATTTTAACTCCAGGTATTGAAACAACTTCCCTAACTTGAGGGGGGGGAAAAAATCCTGCAAGGAGAGCTTCTCACATACCCCAGAATAAAACTAACATCTCAAGAATTGAAATTTGTTACCAAATAGCTCACTCTGTAGCATGTTTTATAGTAAGTGAAATGTGGCATTTCTGTTTGCACTTATGTTCCTGACGTGACTTGCACAAGGTGAGTTGGAGGCACAAGTCAGGAGCATGTTTTATTTGGGGCTTAATGCGCAGCAGATTGGGGGGAAGGAGGAAGGGAATTTGTTGGGTTTTGGATTTTTTTTTTCCTTTAGTGTCTTCAACTGTAAAATAAAACACCTCCTGATAGGGCCATTGGTTTTATTGTATGGTCACTTCTCACTCTGCACACACTTTAATTTGTTTTTGTGCTGCTGCAGAATACTTGTGTATCGATCTGTGTAGCTAATAGATCAAGCTCATTTTTGAAAGTCCAAGTCCATGGCCATCTATGTAGTTTATGTGTGCTGAGGGGCAGTATTTATTAATAAGCCATACAAATCCATGTGGTGGCATTAGGGTTGCCTTGCAGTCTCTTCCCTGCGTCATATTTGTCTCGCATGTTGCTCTCAAAAACTCCTTTCACTTCTGAATTGATTCCAAGGGCAGCAGCAGTCAGGTGAGGGGAAGGGGAACTGCCTTTCCACACCTTGGCCTTTAATCTGTAGGGTTCTTAGCTCTGTTCTCTCCTCTGTGAAAYAGAAGAATATAATCTTTGGCACAGCAGGTTTCTCGCCTGCCTTTACACCTATAGTGTCAGTGAAGGAAATTAAGCAAGCTGAAGGTAGGCTGAGCTTTATTGTGTGTTTCACGTTAGATACTCRCTAGTAATTCAGGAATCTGCTTTCTGAGAGCAAATGGAAATTGGACCCAGCTGAGCTGCTCCTCTTCTGGTTCTGTGATTCCTGAATAGCTGGCTGAAACAGAAGCAGCAGCAGGTGGCTTAATTTTTCCTAAAGTTGGGGGGGAAAGGCAGCTTGAAGTCAAAGGGAAAATTTAAGTTTTGGTTACCTCAAATGACAAGACCCATATGAATGGTACCAGAGTGTGAGGGCTCTTGGGTTCAGGCAAAGCTTTTTCCCGCTTCCCAGGACTCTCTTGTCTGGAGCAGTCCAGAGCTGTGCCGTACACCTTTGAGTACCTGTGAGAACCTTTCTGGCTGCCCTCTGGGCAGTCCTCCTTCCCACCTTTCCTCCTTTGGGCTGGTGACCACCACTGCTGCTGCTGCCCTCCTTTGGGCTTGAGAGGCCGGGGCTCGGAGCCAGGCGGCCTCTTCCAAAGCCTCTTCCAAAGCCCCGGATCGACGCCTTGCTCAGCGCTCCCTTCATTGGCATCATGGGGTTGGACTAAGTGACCTCTGGGGGTCCCTTCCAACCTTAAGCATTCCGTGATTCTCTGACTGTAATRAAGCAAAACAGGGAGCCTCAAAGCGCTCCCGGTACGTGTGTGTAGGAGCACGTTGCAGGCCAGCAGCTCCGAGAAACAAACCGAGTTGACTAGGGAAGAGGGATTTTGTTTCCCTCCTAGAAATGCAACATATTTACGAAAAACTCCATTTTTTTTTAATTGCTGTTGTGTTTAGTTTCACGTTTTGTTTTGCTCTGCCTTTTGTTTCCCTCCTCAAGGACAAAATAAGAAACAGTAATAAGTTTTTATTTATAAGTGCCCATGCTCAGAGGCCTCTGGGAACCACGACAGAAAATAATTAAAARCATACATATATATATATTTCATAAATGGAGAAATGTGCCTGAATGAAATAGGGATTTAGAATAAAGAGAGACCTGTCATCCTACCCTAACATACAATATACAGCCTAGCAATAARCATTCTGCTTTCTTGCTTAGTGTGTCTGTATGTGCTCACGAGCAGAGAGTATGCACCTAAAAAGAGAGAAGAAAGAAAAATACAAGAGGTAGGGAAAAACAGAGCTTCGATTGGGYGTGAGGTGGGACTCGGGGAAAAGAAGCTGAGTTTGTAGAGCTGCTCCAGCTGCCCCTCGTGCAGGAGCATCACCCTGGCACGGAGCACATGCAGGGACGGGTCCCCGGGGCTTGCAAGGCCTTTTTGTGGCAACAAGTGTTGCTGGGAATGATGCCTGCTCTTTTCCCTCCTCTTTTCTCCCTTCTCCCCGCTTCCCGAGCTCTTGGTGGTGGCTGTTGTTACTTCTACATTTGCCACTAGCTCTGGGTTGGCAAAAAAGGTTGCCTCTTAATGTTCAGTCTTTTATTGCCATTGCTTCCAACTTCAGCGAAGCTTCCAGATGCTTCATGATTGGCGACAAATAGATACAAAGAAGAAGGGAGTGAACTAATTAGGTGGCATTTGACAAACTGGGTGTAGAAAACTGGTAAGTGGGGGGTGATTTTTGTTTGTTTTTGATTTTGTTTTTGCTCTACTTCTTGCAAGGGAGAGAAAAACAAGATCTATGCAGTTCCCYTAGCACATGGGCTCCCTGCCTGCAGTGGGACATGCACCCTGTTGTACAACTTAAACCCCAGTTAGGGTCTGTTCTGTCCCTTACATTGAGCAGGAGAGCCACGTGAGTGGCACAAGCTGAAGCTGGAGGTTTGCAGGGRCARTGTCCCCCAGGAGTCAGTGCTGGGTCCTGTGGGTCCAGCTCGTTCCCGAGCCACGCGGATGAAGGGACCCYCTCTGGGAAGGGGGGCTCATGCACCACAGGGCTGTGCTGCCCTTCAGAGACACCTTGACAGGCCGGAGAGGTGGGCAGAAGGAAACCACATGGAGTCCAACCAAGGGAAGTGCAGGGACCTGCATSTGGTGAGGACTAGATGGACTTCAGAGGTCCCTTCCAACCTCAGCCTTTCTGTGAAACTGTGGCTGAGGTCCTATGACAGCCTTGGCTTGGGCTAGGCTCAAATACAAGCCCCTGTAGACTTCTGCGAGGCTCCACGTGCYGTCCTCTTGTACATAAGTACTTATAGGAAAGTATAGGCAGAGCAACATGAAAAAGAAAGAAAAAGGCAGAGCAAAGAGCAGGTTTTGCTTGAATGCAGTGAACATTTGGGAGCATGGTGCATTTCCTTTCCAGGTAAGGATTTTGTGTTCAGATGTTTAAATAGATGCTTGTTTTCTCATGGTCCTATTGACCTGTTCTAGAAGTAGACCTGGAATAAGAGCTGCTTGGGTTTTGGTAATTGTATTACTAGTTTTAGTATCACTTTTTGCACATACTGTATTTTCTTCTTTTATTAGTAATAAATAATTACTCTTACGTTGTATGTTTGCGGTACCTTTTCAACAGACCTAAGAATGATAGCCTAGAATTTGTACCACCTGTATCACTTTGTTGGTTTTGAACCACTTCCTGGTAGTTCTCTTAACCTAACATTACAGGATGCAATTATCTCAGAATGATCTTTTCAACTGAGATTTCATTGAAGATGTTTCTGAATTGAGACTATTTTCTTTTAGATTTGTTTCTCTTGCTTAGCTAGTTCATAAGAATGAGCAAGATTGATTGAGATATTCTCTCCTTGGTGGGGTTTATAGAGTCGACTACATCCTGTATTGTGGAATTTTGCTGTTTCCCAAAGTCCATCAAGTGATGTCAGCAGTGCATTACTGYAGCAGTCAAACAGGACATCAAGTAGTTAGTGAGGCAGGAGATTGTTTTCCTGTCACTCTGTTTGCTCTTCCTAGGTGGTTTCCTAAGTGCTCATTCAAAAGGCTTTTGAAGTTGCCCGCCAGTCTGATTCAGATAGTATTTCCATAATTATGTCTTCTGTGCTTCTCGCATTGTCTAGCAGAGACTCAGGCCCAGATAGTTCTTTGAATTTGGGATATTTCTCCTGCTTAAAGCATTTATTAAATCCTGTCAGCTCTCTGGCAGTTGGGTTCTTAGCTTGAATGGGAAAATTAAGAATTTCTAGGAACTCCGCAAGGAAACTGAGTTATCCGATGGTATCGGCGGTGCTGTAGCCTGGGCATCGATGTTTCATTGATGTAGTTGGTCAAGCCAGCTTACTGTGTCCATTGTAGGGCAGTTTGACACCATACGCTGCATGTAGGGCTTCTTATTGTACATGGAGCAGGAGGTCCTAGGTGTTCCCCAAGCCTGCTGCAGTCCCCAAGCCCCCTCCTGTGACGGGTGCTGCGGTTGTTCATTTGCGCCACTGCTGGTGGTATCTCCTACAAATTGGAGGGAGGGTCGTGTTGACAGCTCTGGTTCAGCCACAGCAGCAAAAGCACATGCTTAACATGGGGCTTCCTTTTGTTTCTTTTTGTTTTTTTTTCTTTCTTTTCTTTCGCTTCGCAGAAAGTTTGAATGAAGTATAAGTCAGCGGAAAGGGCTAATGGGTTTAGAATGGTAATGGCATTAGCTATTTTTTTCTGTTCACCAGAAGGTGGGAAAAATAGGGTAAGAATTAGCCCATTTTACAAGTGTCATCCTTAGGAAACAAAGGAACATTTTGGAGCAAATATCTTTTTTCATAAAATGTCTTTAAACTTGCATATGCTGTATTAAGTGCTATGCTATAAAACCAAAGAAATGATGATTGGAAGTGGAATACAAACGGACCAAGCTGGCAGGGGCAAGAGAGGTTTGAGGAAGSGCACAGGAGCGAGTGGCGGAGGAGGCCGCCTTGGAGTGCACGGACACAAACGCAGGCGCCTTGGGAACAACAGCAGGAGCCGGAGCTCTGCATGTGGCCACTGTGTCCCTGGGGACAAGTGACACGGAGGGGCTGACACCCACGTGGGTGCAGCCTCTGCAGTGAGGATGAGGCTGGGGTGCCTTCTCCTCCTCTTCCTCTTCCTCCTCCTCTTCCTCCTRCGTGTGAGGAACAAGTGGAGTGCAGAGCTGCCACAGGGCGGGATGCCAGGCGGGCTGCAGGTTGGATTGACAGGCTTGGGATGGTGCTGAACTGGGATTGAGCCGGGAGGGAAGCGGCCAAGGCTGCCCTTAAAGCACCTCAAGAATCACAGAAAAGGTGGAATGAATCAAGAAATCAAAGAAACACTCTGGATCGCAAGCCCGAGCTCTTGTGGGGGCTGCAGCCTCCCTGGCATCTGCTGGACGGGTGCCACAGCAGGGTGCAAGAAATCCAGGAAGCCTCTGGAGGATGAGAGACATAATGTCTTGATACGGTACCGCGTGGGCCGAAGAGGGGGAATGTGCAGCTGGACCCGGTATTCAGAAGCAAGGAAGAATGGCAGGAGGTGTGAAAATTGGTGACAGCCTTGACCCTAGTGACCGTGAAATGGAGGGGCTGAAGGTGGGGTGGAATTGAGAATGGTAACTAGATACAGAGGCTGGACATCAGGGATGCAAGTTTTTGCTTAGAGAGGTTACTTGCTGGTAGCTGAAATTGCTTGGAAAGCAGCTCCAAAGGGCAGAAAAGCTGGGGAAGGCTGGTAARCCTTGACAGACAGCAGCCTTCAAGCTCAAGAGTGGTTCAGCCCGATCCTGAGGGAAAATTCCTCTTGGGAGATTGGTGGGGCTGAGCAGCCAGTTTGTGCCTGAGCTCCTGGGGGAGCAAGGAGAGGCAGTGGCAGAATTGGGAAATGCTACCTGGGTGTGGGACTTTTTAATTTTGTTTTCTTTTGTCTGAGGGCACTCAGAGATCCCTGGTGTCAGGCTGCTCTCCTACGATCTCTGAAAAGCCCTGGAGACATTGTGTGTGTGGTGTGGTGGGTTTTTTTTTTTTTTTTTTTTTTTTTTAAACTTTATTTGAACTTATTTATTTGAGCTTATTGTGACCATCTTCAAAAAACATGGAAAGGAGTCCTGGGGGTCTGGGGAGCTAATTCTGCTTAACTGTCACAAAACGAACTGTAGGATATAGGTAGTATAGAACAAATGGGAAGTGACTTACAAAGTATATTTGAATGAATGGGTTATCCTTAAAGCATCTTTGTTTATTGTGTTTTTAACTTCCAGGATCTTCCATGAACTTTATATTTTGCAAAATAGTCCAAAATAGCATTCAGTCTATTGTGGTGTGGGGAGCCTAAGCCTTCTGGAAAGGCAGTGAGGAAGAGGTAGGAGCCTTCCGASGGGCAATGGGGAGCCTGTGTTACCTGCTTTTAAATTAGTAGGCATCTCCTTGTTTTTCATGAAGCATTAACTAGATGTGCTCGTGTTAAGTTAGCTAGAGATCAGAAGGTATTCCTTTCTGTGTTTTGTTTGTCTGTGAGGATGGGGATTTTTATTTACTTTGCTTTGGAAAGATGAGTACTCTGAACGTCCCAGATCCTCTCCTTTCTCAGGCAAAGGAGACGATCCCTTGTGGGATGTAGGGGGACTGCTGGCACGTGTGGAAAGAGACTCTGGTAGCTGTAATGCACCCTGTTATGGACTCAGGGACTCCAGGGGAGCCACTGCTATTCTTCAGGCATGTCCTTGGCACGTTTCCTTTGCAAGGGGGGAAGGTAAGTTCACTAATCTCTGCAGGAGGGAAATAACTGACAGTGAAAGGCGAGCAGGGTGCTGTCCTCCCTCCTGGAACAAGTAGCCTCCCTCTTTWGGCAGGGAAGCAATCAGCACATCATGTAACAAGTAATAAAAACCTGTCGTTAAGAACATACATTGATTGCATACTGTTTTTTCATTCTCTTCTCCATACCCCCACTTTTGGGGGATGATGTTCAAGCAAAGGGTTTACAGAACTCTGTGCTCTGGTTTTCGCGCTTTTAGTGCTTATTTCTGTAGCTATTTGTCAACCCTGCCATTTCCCTCCTGTCCTTTCCTCTGCTCTRGACCCTGGAGATTAGGAAACATCATTGTAGAAATGCTGAGCTTGGTGGGAGCAGACTTGGAATGTCCTTGAAGAGGAGGCATCTGCTTTGTGACCTCCTTGCTTCACGCTTCCCTTTAGCTCAYGGGATGCTTTTGTGTGGTAGAGAGTTGCCAGTTAAAAGACAGGGAACAGAGTTAACTGCAGTCCGGGGWTACAAAAGACTATGGCAATAACTACGAGGGAAAAGGTGGATAAATGYTTTGGGAGGAGGAGGTGTGGATGAAAATATGGCAGATTGGATGAAGGAATCATCATGGAATTGAGGAGGAGCAAGTAGTCGAGTGCCGAAAGGGCATGTGCTGAGAGCATAAGCAAAACAGTAGAATACATTTTAAAAAAATCCCAAAGAGATCTTACTAGAACAGAGTGGTAGGGAGAAATTTTTTTTTTAATAATTTTTTTTTTTAATAAAAAAAGAAATTTTTTTTTTAATAAAAGTTACGTTACAAAAGATGGCAGCGCAGAAACTGGAAGGAAAAAAAAGTGTAGGAAGATGGGTGGAATGACATGCCATAGGAAAAGATGATAAAATAAAAGATGAAATTGAAAAATGTCACTGGACTAGTGAGGCAAATTGTCAGAGGTAAAGATCAGCAAGTCATAGTGATCACATGCTAAGCACAAGTTCAGAAAGGCATTTCAGGTGTCTTTGCTTTTTCTAGTCATAAAAAGAAGTAACTCAATTTCTTAAATCTTATAGAATGCTTATACTTTGGTATCATTCTGCATGTAGGGTTTTTTAACTTATTTATTTGCATTTCTCATCCTAGTCCATATTTTAATGGTAGAAATGTATTTCATATTTTTTTTACTTTGGCTTTTTGAGCAAGTACATCTTTCATGGGTCATAATTCTGTACAGAAATCTGAGGCAACTTGCATAGCACTGCTAAGGTATTTTTTTAGGTTTTATTTATTGCTCTATTTAATAGTTAAATCCAACAAATGAAAGCAAGTTTCAGTTATTTCGGGTTGTGGGTTTATTTTTGGTGTTGGTTAGTTTCAAGAAGCAGCAAAAGGGAGTTCACGCCATGGTCTTGGTTTGTATTTCGCAAAGCTCTTGCAGCTGTGSAGCTGATGACAAAACATCTCACTGGGGTTCTCCACCATGGAGACAGGGCACTTCGCAGCCATCTGTGGAGTGTGATCCTCTAATATGCTGAGAATCCTCATTTGGCAGTGAATTTGATTAAGCAGCGTCTAGACGCAATTGGGGTAGTTGTTTTTCTGCGATTTTTTTTTTTTTAAATAATCATTAAATCACACCTTTGAAACTGATGCAACTTGGTTGCCTTCCTGGGAGTGCCTGTGGACCAGGCCTTCACGTTAAGGGCATTCAGCACCCAAAGGGATGCTTAGCACCTTGTGTTGTTCYGTTTCTATAACAACACATAGATAGCACATGAAGTAACTTCCAATGTGATTTGTGTATGCAAGTCTGCAGTGTCTTGAACATTTCCCCACATTGTATCTTGCTACAAAAATATCATTCTTTGGCCATGAGCTTTTATGCCAGAGATCCTCAGGGGGCAAACAGTTTCTGTAAAATCCRAGAAAATTAAGGCAACAAATTAATGAATGATGTTTATTAAATTAATAAATGGAGTTTATTCTATAGCTCAGTAATCTTTCATTTTTAAAGAGTTTTAACTTCTTTTTTTCTTTCAACTAAGGAAATGCTACTTCACCACAAGTACAAAGACCTTCTTTCATGGACTACTTTGACAAACAAGATTCCAAGAATAAAAGCCCTGAAAACTGTAATCAGAACATGCATGAACCCTACCACATATCCAAAAATGTTTTCCCTGATAACTGGAAAGTCCCTCAAGATGGAGACTTCGATTTTGTAAGTACATTCTTCATGTTTTTCTTGCAGGAAGTTTATGTGTTTATGCCAAAAAGAGTCGATCCTTTTCTATAATTCTGTTAATACAAATAAAATAAGTAGTCTTTCAAGAATGCTGTCCAGGTTTTTCATCTTACGGTCAGGTACTGGCTGCAAAGTAAGTGCATAGATGAGTATATGACATTAAAAACATACTTTTTTGTTACTGCATTTTTTAGGTATAAGATATTCTCAACTCTTAATAATTTCCGTGTTGTTATGACTTCAGAATTTGATCCAGTTCTGTTAAGGATTTTAAAATTTTTACAGACCTGAAATACTGTTACACTGGGGGATATCGCATTGAGATAATGCACATTTTAAACTGGATAGAGACGTTTAGTCACTCTCCTTGGGAGATTAAGATCACTCACTGTTTTGCATTAGCTGGTTTGTTGATACTGTTCCACTAGTGCACCTCTTTCTATACAGAATTCCTGTATCTAACACCAGTCAGTCTATTTTAGAATTTGTTTTGTCCCCYGCATAGTTTGTGTAATTTCTTTCTTTTTACCTACACTGCAAACAATAATAGAAGCCAAAAGAAAAATGTTCCTACATTATTTATCTATATCTGAATCAATAAACAATTTAAAAAMGTTTTAATGAAGTGCAATAAGAAGTTATTACTACTACTTGTAGGTAGGTGCCTCAGCTCCCACTTTGTTCTACTTTTAACCTTTTTGAATGAAATAACTTGGTTTATGTTAGACCTAAAAGACATTCATAGTGCAGTGGCTAAACAGGGTCACGTGACGACTTTTGAAAGTCAGCTTGGGGTTTGGAGAAAAACACTGTGTTTAATTTTAGGTGACAGCTGTAGGTGTGGGGTTTTTTTTCCCRTTTTCACTTACTGCATTTCTAAATAAAGCTGACTCTTACATTTAAGCTACTGGAGGGTCGCCAGCTAAACAGCGCAGTGCAAGCTGTTGCTGCCTGGGAATAGCGTTTTGATTAAGCTCTTTCTTTTTGGGACTTTAAAATGCAATAGCCAGCATCCTCATAATAGACTAATAAAGCAACTAATTGAATTATTCATTGGAAAATAGCTGGCTGTGTTTAAGTGGGGTGGTTATAATGGCAACAGAATTGCTCATAGAACAATTTAAAACTCATCCTTTAACTCTCACTGCTAAGAAATGCAAGCAACTTTTTGTAACGGCTAGAGTTTTGTTTCTGTTAAGTGCTTACCCAGGAGTAATTTGGACACAAATAATCCTGTGGATCTTGCGGGGATTGCATGWATGTGTGAAACTGCCTTCCTGAAATGAGAATTTGTCTTAAAGTCAGACCCAGAGGAAGTCCCCTACTTCAGAAGTGGTTGTGCTGAGTTGCAGGGGAAACTTCTTAGTGGCTTTGGAATGGGGGGCAAAGGAAGCTCTTCAAGGAGCTGCATRATGTGTTGGTCATCTGGAGCTTTCTGAAGATACCTCGTTGCAAGACTTTTAAGAAGAAGTGATTCTGATGGAGTAGGATTCAAAAACTGAGTGCAAATCTCTTTTGGATTTTCCTTTAAGGATGGCAAAAGGCAAATACTTCCACAGAAAAGCCAGTATAAGAAAGTGGTTAGGAAGAATTCTCAATAATGGGTGTATTCTTCCAGATTGGTCCATTAAAATACATTTTTTAAATCTACTATAAGCTAATAACTCAAGATATTGGCCTTAACTGTTTGAACCATAGACAGCTATTCTTCATTTTATAAACAGTTCTATTTTTAAAAACATTCATGACTAAGAGATRATGTTTTGCAACAAGTGAGGAACAGTATCAGCAAATGGTCTGCAAGAGCCCTTGTGAAGGGCTGGATCAGTGGGTGGCATGCATAAGAYATTGTCTCCTTTTTGTAAGGTCAGCACGAATGTTTTCAGTGACTGATGTGAAGTCTTTAAATGATTCATGAAAGTGATAAATAATGGAAACCTCTTGCATTCTAGTTCTGTTTTGGTTGGAAGGAATCTTAATGGAGTCTAGAAAGGTGTCCTAACAGCAAACTCCAACTATCATAACTAAGGAAGAAGGAATTAATAAACCCAAAGCATAAATGATCAAAATCAAATTTAATATTCTAAGAGTACTCTATGATGTAGGAAAAACTGTATTCTTTAAACTGGAGCTTACCAAACTTACTTGGCAAATGGTGCCTTAAATACCCTCGCAAGCCCTAGAGCAGCCAGCAAGGCTTCTCACTGGGCGGAGAGGAGATCCTTAAGTTTCTTTARGTGGAAAGAATTACAACAAGTTTATTAGTGAGTGCCTCTCTTCGAGCATGAAATGGAAATGGGGACAATGCCAATCAAACCCTTCGGAAGGGAGGAGGGAAAAGGAGGAGGAAGAAATCCTCAAATCCCTGCAAATAATAGTTTACCTAATTTCAGTGTATCAAGTGAGACTTAGAGAATTAAGAGCTAATTCCTGTGGCCAGAGTGTATASTTGCTTTATGCTGTGATCATACAGACTCCTGTTCCCCATTTAGGTCTGCTAGTGTAAATCAATACACCATTATTTAATTTATTTAAATATACATGTAATACAATCAGTTTTACATACTTCCTGCCTCTCTTTTAGATACTGTAAATAAATGATAAATGAAACTTTGGAGAAAAATTGGGTAAACGGATGTATAAAAGAATGCAGAGCAAGCCTACCACTAAGTCGAGTTTGAAAGTTGTATGTGTAGGCATAATTTTCTGCCCTCTTATATGTGATTTAACCCAGTTACCAAATGAAATACAACACTTGAAAATAAGATGCTTTGGTTACTAATCAAAGGTCTAAGAAAAATCATTTTAGCAGTGATTTTTTTCTTTTGAAAGTARGTGTTTATGCCTTGTTTTTTCACTGTTGATTTCAAAGTGAAAAGCTGATCTCATTTCTTTAGTACTAAATGCAATATGGGAACTGGAGATCCATGCACCTTCCTCGTGACCATTGGTCCTGCTGCCCCTCAGTTTCTTGATCAGTCTGTGCTYGTTATGAGTGTAAAACCCTATAAATTGATAAGCAAAAAGTTCCCACTGCAGGCCTTTACATTTTGTACTGGAATATTATGACTAACTTTTAAGGAAACTTAGTTCTGATACTGCCTGCTCACCTTTAACATCACCCTCTCGTGTATGCTTTAGGACTAAGGTGCTATTTTCCATGAATGAAAGTTGCTAGAAAGCAAATAGAAAAGTAGTAAAAAGTACATTTCTGAATTTTGTATTTTCTAGGAATTTGCATTGAATTAAAAAAAAACCCTTATCCTTTCCAATTATTTTGTTATCTGTTTTTAATTTCATTCTGAAAGTCAGTGAATCACAGAGAAATGAAATTAGTGCTGAAGTACTTTTAACCATTTGAAGCACCTCACCCTTTTGAAAGTCCAGCATTCGAACTGTGAATGGATATAAATCTTACGAACAGTAAACTACAGCTCCAGCTTTAGCACTTGTATTAGTCTTTGAATCCACCTTTTGCACTTGAGAGAGCCCCTGAGGGCTTTCTGTTTCTGTGCTTCCTCCTGGCTACCAACAGCTCATCTGCATTCTTTTTATTGTTAAATGGCAAAGTGAAAGCACTATTTTAAGCCCTGAATCTGCTAGTTTTACTTGGAGTTAAATGGTGCCTTATATCACCGTAAACCTTGATGCCAACAGAACTGATAAAGTATTGCTCATTCTGAGGAAAACCAGTATAATGTCTCTGAATAACTAAAGGTGAAAGAAAGCTTTGCAGTGTATGGATGTTATATTCACATAGACACTGATATACAGCGTGAGCAGCCTTTCACAATGAGGCTCAGCCATTTAATGGGCTGACTTATATCCTTCTGTCTCAGAACTCGCAGGTCAGTAGCTTGCACCAGAGTGCCAAGTTAAAGCAAAAGATGCTGCAGCTGTTTCGAGTGGTGACGTTACCACTCCTTTAAAGAAGTTATTTAATACATACGTGTGCTCATATAGAGCTGTGAGCTCATATGTCTGCGTTACTTCTCTTTCTGTTCTTTCCTTGATCAGTGTTTTCTGCTGGATATGTATGTTCTGCAGAGACCAATACCCAATGAGCAATAAAACTGCAAGGTGTCCCCAAAACATCTTGTTCAYATTTTTGTCTGTCACAGTTGAAGGTATTGTGGGTATTTATATAGAGCTTTTCATATATTCTTATGTGAGCAACACAGAAGAGAGTTTCTAGAAAAAGTAAAACAAAGTCTTACTGAGCAAGAACARCGTGCGACTTTCATCATGGGTGGAAAAAGTTAAATTGCAGCTTACTGGACAAGGACAGAGTGTGCACGTCTTGTTAACTAGCCTGCTCTTTAATTTCTTAACTGTATCATGGCATTTAACATTTCATGAAGTAGTAATGTTGCTCTGCAAAATCCCTTCCACTTAGTAACGTGCATTAGCATGGGACACGATGTAAAATGATTTACACAAAGTAAAATGATATGTAATTGATGATAACTGGTGGGATGACATTACTCAGAGTGACTTGCTAAACCTCATTTCACTGATTGAGTAAATTACTTTAAATGGAGAATCATTTAGTTTTTGTTGCAAGATGTCAATAGAAAAATGTTAAAAAGGCAAATCCATTTATTATAGCAACGCTGGGTAATGATTTCTGTCTTTAGCAGAATTATTTCCAAACAGGAATGGTGTCCAGATTGTTAAATATTAAACAGTGAACATGTAGATCATGTTTTGCAGCAACTACCATATCATATTGAAGTAGATGCATTTTGGGTTACTTAGATTCTGGAATAGTAACAAAAATTTTAAAAGCCATCTGTTCCTYTAGGCAGACTATTTCACTGGGTTTCAACTAGGACAAATATATTAGAATATAATCACTGTGAAATAACAGTTGTGCAGGTAGGAAGTGCAAATGTTGACTTTCGRTAACATTTACAAATGTACAATGTGTGACACCTTATTTGGTAGAAATTAAACATCATAAAAAGGTTGAAGAT